GTTGTGAGAACTTTGAAATGGTATTAAGAATGTAATATTTCGACTTCGTTTGACTTACCGTAATAATCTCGCAAAATTGAGACAAAAAAAAGTGGAATAAAAATATGAAAAAAAAAAAAATTATAAAAAGGTTTTGGCTGACACACAAAGGAAAATTGGTCTCCTGCGCACAGGATAGCCCTGCGCGCGGCGCGCAGGAGACCAGAATTGTATGTTCCTTATAGAGTGGTTGAACTTGAATTGCTTTTGGAAGTCGTGTCCAAAAATCACCCGAATTGCACGTATAAGTGTAATTTAATTCATTAAATTCCAAACATATTAGAGTGGGAATCACGTTTCTTGTTCCTACCACCAATTAATTCCCAGCCTAGGGCAAGGGATTTAGTACACAATCTATGCTTGAAAGAGATAAATGAAGAATCTTGTTGGAATAAGATAGTCCCAAGATTAACCAAAAATAACAAGAACAACAAAAACACAACAATTTTCGTCATTAGACCCGGATGTTCACCACAAAGTGGCTACTCACCCGTTGAGTATACACCGTAGTGGTTTTCACTTTTTAGGTGATCTTTGGTTGTTTTCAAATAGTTCATCAGATCAAAAACCCAAAAGAATCACTCGACTCAACCCTCAGCCCCTATCTATTCTATTTCTCTCCTTTTACAGATTACACACAGCAACCCAAATTTCAGCTCACCAAAAGCACACGAAACATAACCAGAACTGTAATCTATACAAAGATAACACCAAGATTATCTAACCTCAAGATTACAGATGAAAACCAAAGATTTTTCATCAAGAGAGGAAAGTTACAGAGAAAGGGAAAAACGAGAGCCAAACCCTAAAAGAATCAAATGAATGGCCAAAATAGAAGAGTCTCGAATATGTAAAGTCATCGTGCATCCAACGGTCTAGCCACTACCACGTGTCACAATCTTAACCAGTTTACCTTATAGGACCAAAGTCGCATAATCAGAAAAACGCGAAAATGAACACACAAGTGGGCCAAATCGGGTCGCACTCAAAACAAAATAAATGGGCTGTCACAATTTTGGAGGTTCATCATTGGGCTTCAACTGAAGTATGTTAAGCATACATATTAACAATCTCCACCTTACTTAACATTTTCGGGTCTTATATGGATTAGAGGTTAACACATCCTTCGGTTTCATTTGCTCAGGTATCTGCAAAAAAAATTAATCTATAATGACATTTAGAAGATTTAAACAATCTTTAAACAATCTCTAAATTTATATAAAAGAAATATTTTAGTTCCCATATTTGCTGGATTACACTTAGTAGGAATCTTCTCAATTTTTATAATTTCCTTTTCTATAATATTTCTTATGAAATGGAATTTAACATCTATATGTTTTGTCCTATCATAAAAACTGGATTCCTACTAAGGTGTATTGCAGATTGACTATCAAAGTAAACGGTAGCATCATTACCAGAGAATCCAATTTCATCCAATAAATTTTTCAACTAAATACCTTCCTTTACTGCATCTGAGGCTGCAATGTACTCAGCCTTTGTGGTAGAAAGAGCCACAATTTTTTGCAGCTGTGATTTCCAGCTCATACATGTATTATTAACAGTAAAAACATAGACAAAAGTAAATGTTCTATTGTCACATTTACCAGCAAAGTCAGAATCAACAAAAC